CCCCCCCCCCCCCCCCGTCTCAGAGGGGGTTAAACAAAAACCTCACAATAGAATAAAATACAATAGAAGGAATATTTATTATTCGAAGTTGGCACTATACGTCCGATGCGTCTGAAAGGAGTCCGAAACTCAGACGAAAATCTTATGTAGAAGCGCCCTAAGTACCCTAGAAAAGCGGGATCCGCTACGGCTACATCCGCGTCCCGTTTCTGCAGAGTGTCGGCCGACGATATTGTGTTTATCGAATGCGGCGAATACTCAAAATTGTTGATCAAACATCGAGAATTGAAAAAATTGAAAATCAAGTCCATTTCCAGCAATTTTCGGGCAGCGTCCGAACGGCGCCCGAAACTCAGATCAAAATGTTATTGCAACCAATACTTTACTATAGAAGAATTCAAAATCGTGGTAATACTTTTTTTCAAAAGATTAGATGAGTGCAAGTATAACAGTCTTATCCTCGTAATTTGAGTCTAACTCGAAAATACTTTTTTTCCTCACTTCGGAAAAGTTTAATCACAATTTGTGATAAATTATTACTCAGCTATGATAGTAATGAAATCTAATATATTCCGATAACTATAATTCAGACAAACTGAAACTTTTTTTCTAAGGATAAACACACTAAGCTTGAGTAGAATAATTTAATAGTGATCATGTAAAATTAATAATTGTATGGAAAAGTCTTACTCATGACTCTACTTGCCCGGCCGTCTCGATCAAAAACGAGACATTCGCTCTCGTCATTCATGTTTCATCAATATGTACAGAAAAAAGGTTTAAATAAGTGTTGAAAATGGTAAATGGTGTTTCTTTAACATTTAAAATAAATTTTCCAACAATATATTTTTTAAGAGCATGCCAACATTCTTTAACTAGTCTACAATGATAAAAACTTGGTCCGGAACCTTCGCTATCATTTATAACAAAATGGCGAATTTTTGAAAAAAAATTTCGACCAAACATGACTTTTTTTTCAATTGCAAAAGTTGTGTTATAAATTTTTGAAATGGAAATTTTGCATAATACTACGTTAAAGTACAATAGTTGAAGGTAATTTTGGTAAAGTTTTAAATCATTTCATCAATTGGGTAAAAAGTTACAGCGTATTGAAACTCGAGTCTTCGCGTGAAATTGCGCGGAATTTCGTATATGCATTGAAAGGTCCCACAAGAAATGAAGTGTATTTATATGTATTTTGATCCGCTGAATCCGAATTTTTAACTCTCACCTCGCTCAGATGGTCGAGTTATTTGTTATAAAAAAATTAATTGTTTATACGGCTATAACTCCTAAACTATTGAATTTTTACTGAAACAATTTTTTTCATTTTATTGCACACAAAAAGACAAAAATTTCTTTTTTTTATTCGTCTTGATATGACTAATAGAACCGGAGATATTGTTAAAATAGTAAAAAATGACGATATTGCATAAGGTCAATGCGTAGAGCTCAGACTGCCGCTTCCATATATCGTTCATCTACCACAATTTTTCACTTATGAAAGTCGGGCTAGTTTTATTTATAATAAATTGAGTCTTGATTTAAAATTGAATTCAAACGTAGCCGGGGATTCTCACTTCTGACGAATGGTAGGCCCGGCCCACCGCGCAAGTCACAAGAGAAGCGCCTTTATCCAGCCATCAGCTTGAATTTTTTTAACCTCTTTTAGCTTCTATTAAACAAGGTTCGTACCTCGTGTCCGATAATTAGCTATTGTTAAATAATTTGTTTATCGTGAGTGTTGACAATATTCAGTGCAAATAGTGTCGAAAAGTAATAATAGTTAAATTTAACCAACTCGTGATAATAGTAGCTTTGTAGCTTATAAAACGTGTGCATAAGTCCGTTCCAATCTCATGTTAAATTAATGACAAAAAAATTGCGTTGCACAAGTAGTTTTGTCCCTCATAAAATTGTCAAAATATATCGTTGTATGTAGATCATTTGTTTACCGATATTTTTAGTTGTTGATATTTTGTGCGTCAAAAAATCCATCATGAACAAAAGTTTTTTGCTTGCCTTATAGTTTTGGGTTTTTTTTATAAATCCATTATAAAAATAACCCATTTACCTAAAAATTTGCAATTATATTAAACTTTTCTTGAATAATTTGCAGCTTACCACCAAGATGGTAAAAATTATGAAGAATGGAAAAGTTGTACTGGTCCTCAGTGGCCGGTACGCAGGACGTAAAGCAATTGTGGTGAAAAACTACGATGAGGGCACATCGGAGAAACAATACGGCCATGCCTTGGTTGCAGGTATCGACAGGTATCCACGCAAAGTTCACAAGCGCATGGGAAAAGCTAAAATTCACAAGAAATCTAAAATAAAGCCTTTTATCAAGGTAAGTTAGCTTACTCTTGTACATGACAATGTACGTCATTAACATTTTTTGTTCTCAATATTAATGCTTTTTGCTTACTTGCAGGTACTCAACTATAATCATGTTATGCCTACCAGGTATACAGTTGATTTGCAGTTGGAGAAAATTGCACCCAAAGATCTTAAAGATCCAATGAAGAGGAAAAAGATCCGCTTCCAGACTCGTGTCAAATTCGAAGAAAGGTAAATTTTTTTCAACTTTTTTTCAAGTAAATAAGTTCATTTAAAACCCTTCAATATATTATACAATCAGTTGCCTAATAAGATAATATTTTAAGCTATAACTTCATATTAATGCGTAGTTAATGTCAAGTAATGAAAATAATACATTCAGAATGCATATGAATAATAAAGTAAACAGCTATATTATAAATACCATTAACTTAAATTTAAATAATCATTTTATAACATTGTAGTAGACTCAGAAAGTATTAAGGGTATAAGGCTTAATTATATTCCTGTCACATTATACCAATTTAGTTTCAAAGTAGTTTGAATCTTGTTTTCATTAATATATTTTAAATGAAGATTAAATTGCTTGAAAAGTGAGCAAGCAGAATTATCATTTAATTTTTATAATTGAATGTACGATAATTGTATAATTATATCTTTAATTATTAACCTATAACTGATACTATATCTTTCACAAAATAATTTGTCTTATTTTTTTTATTTTTGTTTGGATCAATTAATAAATTGGTTTAATTTTTTGTTTCAGGTACAAATCTGGTAAAAACAAGTGGTTCTTCCAGAAGCTCAGATTTTAATTTTTCATAATTCAATAAACAAAATTTGACAAACCAACTCTGAAAGTAATAAATTGTTTTTTACCACATCTTTATTGATTTAGTAATTTTTTAAACTGATTTATCGTTATTGATCATTTTAATATTTATCACCACACACCCTCACACTTCATACTTACAGCCTCATAATTTACAGTATAAATTAGTTAAGGTTTTTTTTACATTATTGACTTTTTAAGGATCCTACTATTAGATTTCTGTACATTTAGATACAAGTTAAGGATGCAAAATTCTACACGCATATCGTTACATTGAACTAAGGTTTTATTTAGCTTGCAAGAAAATCATGAAATGAAAGATACTGAATAATATGGCTTAGTTATTGAGGAGAATCATTTATAGGAAAAAAACATGTGCATTCATTAATTTCGTAGATGAAAATGTATTTTCTGTCTGATTAGACTCTTACAATCCAAAGTAAATTACTGAAAACTCCTGTACGTAGGAAAATTTTATAACTTGGACATAAAAACTATATAATTGAAATTACCTAAATTATATTTCGGTTTTACATTAAAATATATAAAATTATACCGAGTACATATTAATTATGGATTTCATAATTTCAAGTGATTTCTGCTTTGATTAAATAAATGAATGCTTATAAAAAAATAAAAATACTTAAGCTTGAGAGCTCCGAACATAGATATGTACAAAATATAAACTATCTTCTCTTGAAGCCATATTTTTTCCTTTCATAAAATAGATCTGTTTTCGAACTGCCTAGATTTACAATTTTCGGACAACCGTCTCTCTGAAAATGTAGATGGAAAAAAAAGGTTTATGAGCGAGAAAAATTTTAAATAAAAGACCAACAAAAGAAAAAGAAAAAAAGCATTGTTCGACTCACGTCCTTTTCTTGAATGGTACACTCTTTGCAATAATAAGCGTCCGAAACGCCGGGTCCGCCGCATATTACGCAGCGTCCTTGGTAGGAGCCGTAATTGCACTCGTCGCATATCCTGACCAGGGTGCAGGGCCGCACGTACGAGTCGCAGATGACGCACTTGCCGTCGCACTTCTCGCACAGACGTCCAATAGCTGAAGAATAAGATAAGATAAGATAAAATAAATAAACAGTCGAATTCAGTCGAGCCTTCGAGTTAATTCGGAAGATCCGAATGTCTCTCTTTTAGGTTAATTCGAGTGTCAAATAATTATCCCTCCCAAAAAAAAGAAAAAAACAATTATTAGAACGAATCGACTCACCGACACCCGGCTGCTTGCGACAGAAAATAAGATCCGGATGATGCTTTGCCATTATCAAGTCGAGCTTCCAATCGTTGTTCTATATGTCGCACGAGAAATGAATGTTGAAACGAGCGCTAAAGAGCACTATATAGAAAGCTTAAACTGCTACTGCTCACTGCATAAGGCATGTTTAGTATACCATGAGTATTGAGTCTGCAACAGGCAACTCTGCTGACTGCTGTGCAGTACACACGGGTAACGCATGCGCACCGTCCTCGCAGCCCACGAGTTGCGGTAAATCATGTGTGTGTTTTGCGTAAAATAGTTAACTTGATGTATGAAAAATTGATTAGGAAACGTCGAGTCAAATCAAATTTATTTGTAAAGTAAACTAGCGTTTAAGAGCTTGAAAATGAGTTGAAATGTATTTATGAAAATGTGATTCAGTAATATTTTAACAAATCAAATTCATTAGCTTACAAAGAGACCTTCTCACCTTCGGGTCATGGATTTGCTCCAAAATTTTTTTGGGGTCTCCTGAAAGACAGTATTTAAAATTACTAGTCATATCATAGATATACCTTCAAAATTAAAAGAAGAAGAAATGAGAAATAGTTATAAATTTTGGTGTGCGTTGTATAGATTAAAAAATGCCGGAGGAATAGTATGTTACGTGACAAGGGACGAAAGTCGAACTTCCGTCCCTGCGAGGTTATGCACCCGAGGCGAAGCCGAGTCTGACAGAAAATACCCTCTTTGCTAACTGTGTCTCAATTATTTCTTTTCAATGTACTTAATACAGGAAAGAAAGAGGAAAGCGAGCAAGAGCTACGCACAGCCTGCAGCGATAGGAGCTCGTACATGCGCACCAGTATATAGATGTACAAAGGTATGCCTATGTACTCTAGAAAAGCGGGACGGAGAGAGGCGATTTGATGGTCCCGCTTTTGGAGACTGGAAGTGATATTCATTAATAATTCATTAAAAGTTCATGAAAAAACAAAACTTTTCATGTGTTTAAAAAGTGCCATGGTTCCTTCCTTCAAAATCTACAGCTGCTCAAAGTTAGAATCTGAAAATCAACTTTTTTCTCCATAGGCCCAATGTAGCTCTGAAAAATAAATCAAACATAGTATTTTTATGTATTTTTTGATTAAGAATTCATTGGTGATATGTAAAAAGTGATACAGATACTCTTACACCATTAAAAATCAAAAAAATGCATTTTAGGCCCAAAATAGATGTGTTCGTCCTCTTGGATTTGCCTGAAATTAATAGAGTATCATTACAACATCAAATTAAAGCTCTCTGCCAAGTGGCATTATCGGTTGGCCAATATCAAGGAAGATATACTATGAAATGTGGCTATCATTCACTTTTACATCATGATAGACTGAATGTCGACTATCAATACTGCCTAGAGCAATGAACTAAAAGCAAGCTAAAAACACTAATTTATCTTTTTAAAGTTCAATCACAAGTACTTTCTGCACAGAGTTCACATTTAATACCACTGTGAATGAAACATTATATACATTTATTTATTTATTTCGAGCAATGTCCGAGTTGACTAAAAACACAAAGTATCGAAATCGTTATCGCGTCGTAGAGAGAAAGAGAGTCGATCGCGCGACACGTGCTGCTCGCACACGACTCGTATCATCGTCGTGTCGTCGTCGTTGAGCGATGCATACGATGCAGTTTGTGCAATTGCTTCTCTTTCTTTCTTTTCCTCGAGCTCGGGGCGGCGATAATGAATTCAATGTCGTCGCAATTATTGTAAAGCGCGTAATTTTCGTGTCTTTGTTTTCGTTTTGCGTTCAAAAATCGAGAATCAGCGACGCAGTATATAAATGTATCGGTATCGGTATCGGTCAGTGGGTTGGGTGTATACGTACGTTTAAAGATCCTTAAAGTGAGGACTTTCTCTTGAGCTAAAAAATCATTGAATTTCGTGATACGATGAATTTCGAAAAAAACAAAGCCTACACGGAGAAACCTATATGTAGGAAAAATTAAAAAATTTTTAGTAAAAAAATGACATTTTTGTCTTGTGCTAAAATTTATTATAAAATGTATCAAAATTTATTAGAAATATAGTAAAAATCAGCAGAAATATAAGAAAAATTACAATAAAAATAGTAAATTTTACCATAAAATATAGTCATTTTTTCTATACATTTAGCAATTTTTTCTATATAAGTTTCTCCGCGTACTTATATCAATTCGTTTCTTCTACTTCGAAAATTCATTTGCGAAAAATTTGGATCAAGAGTGCGTATAACATTTCAAAGAGTATATATTGCGAAAATTCCGGAAAACTATTTAATACCTTCGTGCGTACGTCACTTTTTAATTTGGTCAAGAGAAAGAGAGAAACGGATAAACTACTCTCGAACGCGCGAATGAAAAGTTTTTAACGATTCGTCCATACGTGATCGAGTGTCAATATAACAAAAATTGCACTCGAAGATCGATGTAACAAAGCGCACGAAACGCGCGTGTACAGTTGCTTGGAAGTAAATTACAAAAATTTTTCAAAGTAATAAACAGAAGAGGCCTGCGCGCGAAACGAAACCCGTAGTGTGATCCGATTACTCGATGCAACACATCCACATCGAGAGAAATAGATAATAAACGCGCGGTACGTCTCGTATTTTATTCATTTCGACGGTATGCGACGACGAACTAACAAAGGCTTGTGTGCTTGATGCATCGCGCGATTTGGCAAGCACTAATTGCTAAAAGTATCGAGTACGAAGAGAATTTCTATCTCCCTGTGTGATTCTTTCTCTCCATACGATAGATATCCTCGATTGTGTCTACATGATACAGAAAAAATAGGAAAAAAAAGAATCGATAAATCCACTCCATACTACTACTGTGTATTATTATTACAGCAGCAGCTCTTCATCGAGTGGTGCTCAAGCGACGCAAGCGTGAAACTCAATATATATATTTAGTCTAGGCGCTGAGGGGGTTTCGTGTGCATTGGCAGGTCCCACAAAAAACGAAGTGTTTTTCTACGTATTTTGACCCGCTGAATCCGAATTTTCAACTCTCACCTCGCTCAGATGGTCGAGTAATTTGTTATAAACAAATTAATTGTTTATACGGCTATAACTCCTAAACTATTAAATTTTTACGAAAACAATTTGTTTTCATTTTATTGTACACAAAAAGACGAAAATTTCCTTTTTTTATTCGTCTTGATGCGACCAATAGAACCGGAGATATTGTTAAAATAGTAAAAAATAACGATACCGGATAAGGCCGGTGCGCAGCGCTCGGACTATCGCGTCCATATCTCGGCCAATAACCGATATTTTCTGACTCTAGAGTACCCATTTTAAAGGTATTGATCTGTACTTTAATTTTATGCAAATAAAAATATGGATTAAACAATTACAACGAAGCTAGCATTATTAAAAGTATCATTATCATTTTTCCAGCTTGCTATTAGTTTATAAGTCGACATCGAGCTCTTCGCAAAAGAAAGTCGCACATAATTATGTATGAGTAAATTGTAAATTTGTTCTAGTTTTTAAATATTACTCATTTTTTCAAATATCTTTATTAGAACTAGAGTTATTGCATTTTCAAGAAATCACAATTTTGCAATTTGCATAATTTTGCAAAACTTTAAAAATTGCTCAAAAAATTTTTTCCTAGAGTTGATATTTCTCGAGAAAAAAATTCATGAAAGTATACAAAAAAATTTTGCATTCTAGACGCCATTTTGTTAACTTCCCGGCAAATTTTTGGTACAAAATCTATGTCATTTTAAAGGTAAAACATTTATGTCACGGTTTAATGTGTTTCCAAGGTCGTGGCAAACTCGAAACACATTTGAAATTTGGTTTAAAAAAAAAAAAAACGTGAAAAAAAATGTGCTTTTTTTGTTTAAACTAATGTTTCTCTATGTTAATAACTTTTTAGCACAATTTAAATACCACCATTGGAAAGGAGAGCTTTCAAACTTTAAAAATATGTAGGTTGCATTTTTTTCTAACGCCAATTGCGTAAACTGTACAGTTTCGAAGAGTGACGTGTTGTTTGGGTCGTTTTGGGCCGAAAAGGGTTAAGAAGGGTCTTTCAGTGCAAGTTTTTGTACATTAACTGCTCGGTCAGCTCACGCATGGTCCCGTACGCAATGTAATGCACATGTGCAACGCGCCTATAGTCACTAGACCGTTTCGTTTTGGAAAATTTTTTTTTAATTTTGGGAGCAACGGCAAAATCCTTTAGTTAAACTAATAACATGACATTTGCTGTCTACCTGATGTCGCTAGGTGCTCTGAATAGCTGTCGATAGCTTTTTGAAGTTGAAAAACGTAGTGCAAAAACTGGACAGCATCGCTAAATAAGATTTAAATTGCCTACTGTGCTCTGAGGGTAAAATTAATATTAACAAGACGTTTTCTTACGTAATTTTTTGTGTAGAATCGATTCCTGTCGTTATAACATTGAAAAAAAATACTTTTTCGATATTTTTTTTCATAAATTCGAGGGCGTGTCAAATGAACAGAAAAAGTCTAAAAAAGCTACAAAAACGCATCGTACAAAAACCGTTGTATCTCATCGATGCTTGCGAATTTTAAACTTCTGAAACCGGCGTTGGAAAGGCGAGATAAAAACCTATCAGATAGTTTCATGCAATTTTTCCCATAGTTAACTCTACTTGGCCGTTTCCTGGAAGAAACTAATACACTTTTCGATTTTTCAATTTTGTTTTATGTCGTTTTTTGGGATAAAATCGTTTTTTTGTATGTAAATAATTTTAAAGTTTATAGTAATATATACCGTTGGATTTGTCATGAAAAATCGTACATTTTGGTAGTACCAAAAAATTTTTTAGATTTTTTCTCTTTATTTGACACGCCCTCGAATATAAACTTTTCGAAATTTATGAAAAAAAAATCGAAAAAGTACTTTTTGTCAATGTTATCGTATTCCTAGGTGATAAATAACGACAGAGATCGATTCTACACAAAAAATTACGTAAGAAAACGTCTTGTTAATATTAATTTTACCCTCAGAGCACAGTAGGCAATTTAAATTTTATTTAGAGATGGTGTCCAGTTTTTGCACCACGTTTTTTAACTTCAAAAAACTATCGACAGCTATTCAGGGCACCTAGCGACACCAGGTAGACGGCAAACTTCATGTTTTTAGTTTAACTAAAGGATTTTGCCGGTGCTCCCAAAATTAAAAAAAATTTTTCCAAAATGAACCGGTCTAATATTCACGTAGACCGAGCAGACGTTTTATATGTTAACATATACCGGCTTATGTATTAATGTCACAGAGTTTACATTTTTTTATATTTTGCCTTAATTATTTGTTTTTGATTCGTTTTAATTATTATATTTTAGTCATCAATGGTCTATATTTTAAGTTAAAACTAAAGAAATGAATTTATTAAATAGTAAATAAATAAAATGGTATTGGAATTTAAATCAATATGGGCCTTCTGGCCGGTAATACAAAGATGTGCCCAATAATTATCTGGGGTCAGAGACGTGCCTAATATTATCTCGGGTCATAGGTCAAACTCGCGGTGATACGGGGACATGCGAGTGCGTGTGTGACAAACAATTGATTTTTTGGAGTTCTCCAACGATCTGCTTAGGCAGTAATTTAACTCATAATTTTATGACTTTGATTTTCCACGAAAAGCTAAGATAGGACAATGATTTTCAAGATGATTTAAAATACAAGAAATTTTTTTTCTATGCTGATTTCAAATCTGTGGAATTGAAAACATCTAAAGATGACTATTTTATCAAAGCCACAATGCAATTTGAATCGTACACAAATCGAAAAGATTCAACCTCGACCAGGAGTTGAACCTGGAACTCCTCGCCTATGGCTGGCGAGTGCTATACCAGTTTCACTAGCGAGGTATTGGTCAAATCCATCACTTATTTGTGTACAGTAAGAGATGATGTTACTTATTAATTCAAATTTTTTTTTATGAATTCACATGCGTTCATAATATTAGACGCGTTATATTCAACCTTGTTCG